GGGGGGGGGGGGGGGGGGGGGGGGGGGGGGGGGGGGGGGGGGGCAGGAGTCAGAGCTCTCCTCCCCACACAGCTCACTCAGCCTCCTGTGACAGCGTGTCAAGATGGAGAGCGGTAAATAATTGAGGAAATAGTAGGTTTACTGTGTCCCCAATTAATGAATGAGAAGTGATCTACATTGTGGACGTGGTAAAACATACTATGTCCACAAGTTATGAATGAACAGGAACACTCACTATAGAGGCTGCCTGTTCATTTATAACAGGGGCTGCAGAAAAAGAGTGAGGACTGTTTCCTCAATCTCTTTTTCTATTTTTAAAGGGAAATATCAGTGGTCTGTTTAGGCACCTAGTATTTCCCCAAAGCCCCCAACAGTAAAAGTAAAGAAATACAAATATTTAATAAAAATAAATAAAAAATATTTGGAAACATTTGGAAAGGTTGGGGAAAAACCCCCCAAACTTTCGGTTTCGGACTGCCTTTTTATTTTCGGTTTTAAACATTTCATTTCGGTGCACCTCTAGCAATAATAATAATTCTCTAAATTATAAAGGAAAAAACATAGGACTCATGTACCAATGCATCAAAAGGAAAACTCTCTCATCATCAGTCATATTGATGAACAAGGGTTAGTTTAGGTTTAATTATACCTGTATACACAGGCACATCTATTACCCTTAGAGGGAAGAAGATAAAAATTCAAGTTTACCTGCCACTTTGTACAGTTTACAGATAAAGAAAAAAAAAAAAACAGTATAGGCTCTGCCCTTGTCTGGTGCTCAGGGGACTTCAGGAAACCTAGGTTCTTGAAGTATCCAAATACTGAAAGTCATACCAAAACTGCCCTGAAAATAGCCCACAGTGCAAGGGAAAGGCCTCAACAACCTACATAAAGTCATCCTATGCTATACTGTGAGCTTCATTCTGGGCTACCCTCACCATCAATATGCAATAAACCAGGAATCTGCATAGGTACTAGGGGGCTCATAAGGAGCACTGAAGCAGTACCTCTTCAAGTAAGTGCTACTAATGGGCACTGAGTGGTGCCAATTTTGCATTCTAAGCATATGAGCTGTGTGAATTAGCAGGTTTGATGTGGGATTTGTTATAATTTCATCATAATTTCCAAAGCATGCACCAAATGTCTGGAGCATGAATAGTTGTAACTGCAAACTCTAGAAGATCATAAGTGCTGCCGGAAATCCAGCATGGTTCTACAAATGTTCTACTCATTTCTAACGACAAAGCAGAGATGGACATAGACAATCAGGTGCCTCGCATAAACAGCAATTGGGAGTTTAGCCAACATGCACTTGGAAGAGAGTCTACGTGTTGGGTGAACTTTTCACCTTTCGAAAGGATGTTCACTTGTAAAGGTTGCAGACTACACAAACAGGAGAAGTAGTATAGATTTGATATTAAGGTTTGTACATAAAAAACACCAAACAGGACTTACCCTTCTTTCTTTGTCACCATATTCGATGCCCAGAGTGTCCATGGCACGGACAATGGCTGCCAGGGACTGGATAGTGTTACTATAAACCACAGGCTTGTACTGTTTCACATCTTCACCTGAGAAGCCATCTTCATGGATAATTCTGTAGGAGAGAATAACTGTCAGTGATCACAACAAATAAAGATGAAGCAAGTTATACCAGGAATAGGCAACCTGTAAACATATATAAAGAAAGAATGAAGAAGAAATAGCGATTATATAGATATAATAATCTCTGTGTAAGATTAAGGAAGACATTTCAGCAGACGTGCTCACGATACAGACAACAAAATCTTCCCAGTACAAGTGCAATTCCCAGGGCTGCCGATCCTCAATAACCATACAGTAGCTTTGCATACATTATTAATTGTGGTAGACACCCCATTAAACCAAGTGCTTGAATGGAGAAGCTCGGATTACAGGAAGCTGGGTCCATCAGCGTTATGGGTTAAGAGGTTTTATAAATATGGATTAATGGCTACTGCGTAAGTGCTCTGAAACCACTTAAAATGTCAATCTCTGATTTATGGCTATTTGGAGACGCGGCACAAATCAAACCTTATTGTGCATAGAGTTAGACAATACTATACTCCGAAGAGGAGATCGTAAAAAAAGTGATGGACAAACGTCTTCTCTGTTTGTGACATGTCACAGGGTGCTCAGTCATAACATGGCGATATACACAAAAGAATGGTGAAAGATTCGAATGACAGCTAGCACGGTAAGAATAGAGAGGAGGAGAAACCCAACATGCAGTACATAGCAGCACAATACAAAGGTACAAACAGGTCAAAACTTAAAAGAATGCTACCATGCAGAATGTTCCATCAACTGCACAAGAAATATATTTTATACAACCACGGCCCACTTCAAAAAATATATATTTACAAAAGGGAGGAAAGACCAAATTTTATTCCAACCACCACACTGACTTTTGGGTAGTGGCAGCACGCAGACAGAAAAGAGATCTTAAAGAGAAAGGTTCATTTTACAATAGACAAAAGGTGCAAAATAAGACAGGCGATAGGATTTAACCATATTAATGGAGTGCATTTTAAAATGCATGCCTGAGCAAAGAGGGAAAAAAAACAAAACAGTGAAGGGAATTGATCAAAACTGGAGCAGCTGTGCATGGTAAACAATCAGCTTCTCTCTTTCATTTTCAAATCTTAACTGAAGAGAGAAGTTGATTGGTTGACATGCTCCAGATTTGTTCTGCTCCAGTTTTGATCAATTCCCCCCAGTGTTTCTTTAAGGGGTGCACATTTCCCCGTGGTGTCATCCCTTAACAAATGCTGCACGCACAGAAAAATCCCAGTTTATCTGCCACAAATCAAGCGAGGTCCTAACTTCCAGTAGTGAGCCGGCAATGCTGCTTCTGCTGTGCTTAAACCCCAAAAGGCTTTATTTATAAAGGTGTAGATGCCGTTCGCAGGACATCAACAGAGTCCTGGGCACAGGTGATACACTTCTTGCGAATCCAATGCAGTGCAGGCAGCATTGTCAACTCACTACAGAAATGAATGAGCTCATTGGATTTTTTTTTTTTTTAAACTCTTTTAGAACTTGCGGTATTTTTAAAGCAGATCTTCAGTTAAAATTAGCACACATCATTTTAACCTTCCTCCCTTGAATCTAAATGAATGCTAATGATGCCCACTTGTCCCTTTCAATCAGGACTGTCTGGGTAAAAAAGGCATTTGCCCCAGGCTAACGGAAAAGGAAAGCCAACTAACAGGTTTGGGTTGAGAAGCTGCAATGGAGTGTCTCAAGCTTTGGGTGCTGAAGAAAGCCATTAACTTCCAGTTTTAAGAGGCAAGCATCTTATTTTGGTTAATCAGATCAATTTGATTCTAAATATCCTTGACCAAATTTGAAAATCATTATCTCACCATGATTAGATCGATCGCACTACAAAAAAATGCTAAAAAATTTGTAAGTACCCACAAGGTGTTTAAAAGGTACAAATTAAAACCTACTTGTACACATTTACTAGGGGCTTATTTGTGTCTTGAGGAAGTTGTGCCGTCACTGCCCTTTTCATTTCCAATAGGTCTTCTATAAAAAGAAAACGCTCACCAGAACGGTTAAAGAACAAGCTCACCTGTTGCACCATGTTATATGTTAAACCCATATTCAAGGTGCAACATAAAACATGGTCACATCGCCCCACCGACACCCTTTTGACAGGATCTGTGAATGGAGAAACCTCAAGTTCCATTAGCCGCCGCGGCAGAGGGACTTTTAGTTCTCAATAGAGTAGAAGTGCGGTGACGTCACCTTACTTGTAGTCAATTCATTCTCCCTCCCACCCATGTTACTAGCAAGGTACGGACATAGACAGGAGGAAGAGTCTGCAGGAGTCAGAGCATTACATCCGGAATTTACTTATGTTTGCAATGTTTAAGTGGCTCCAATGCAAAAAAAAAAAAAAAAAAATTACATTATTTTTTCTCAAAAGGTGGACTTTGTATTCAGCAGTCCACCTGCTGTTCAGCTTTAAAGACAAAGATGTAACACAAATGCGGGACTTGCCAAAGGATCTGAATCTCTGTCCATCCTGTTCGAATATTTAAACAGCCTTGACACACTGCACATCCAGTCTGGTGATTTTCGTTTTCTCTGCTGATGTAGCACAGCATAGCTTTGTCACCTCTCTGTCCCACTCCTACTCTGTGATATGACAGTGAAGGGGCAGAGACAGACTGATGAGGTCATCTCCCTGCACATTCCTTTTATCAGCACAAATCCTGCCCTTCTGTCTCCCGGTTGGTGGACTGGTGAAAATCAGGTCAAATTTTCACCTACAGGTGGCTGAAATCAGGTCATATTTAGGTATGTATACAAGCTGCATTTGAAAAACAATTGGGGATCTTTTAAAATAAATATTAAGTCCTTGTTCACACCTAGGCATTTTGACACTAAAAGCTTAAAAGCTAGGGGGGGGGGGGGGGCTTTGAGGAAATATCAGGGGTTTACAGTTAGACCCCTAACATTTTCTTTCTGAAATAGAAAAGAAATTGGACACCAAGTCCTCAGTCTCTTTCTGCAGCCTCAGCCCTGAATGAGTGGAAAGCACTCCTCCGAGTAGAGGCTTCCCATTCATTCATAAACTGGAGATAGTAAATATTTTACAACCAGTTATGAATGGGTAGAAGCCTCTGTATCGAGTGCTTCTCCCAATTCAGAAACACACGAATGAGCAGGAAGTGATGTAAATCACTTCCTGTTCATTCATAACTGGGGACACATAGTACTATGTTCCCCAGTTGTTTACAAACACTGGCGTGATCAGCTGATCACTCCAGTATTTGTCCTGCACACAGAGGATTGGTAAATATCAAAGATATTTACCGATCCTCCGCTCTGCAATCCTGACACGCTCTGCACGCACAGATCACAGAGTCGCCAGCGTTCCTAGATTTGACAGCCAGCGGGCTCTGCACACCGCTCGGCAATCCTGAATGTCACGGCTCCCTCCTACCCAAGCCACCCCACCCGGTGGGCATTTCTCCCCAGATCCCTGCTACCCCAGCCCATGCAGGCGGGGGAGAGCAGCGGGGCTCCGAAGATAAATCGATCCCAGCGTGGAGCGGCACCTGCAGATGCTGCAGGTGCCTGGCGGGGGGGGAGGGGCGGCATGATTTTTTGTCAATAGCCGTCGTCAGCTGCTTTTTAGCCGCTGATGAGATTTTACAGAGAACTGTGTCAGGGGAACTGTTCTGGTGTAAGTTCATGGTCGCTTTAGCTTACAGGAGAGGGGTAAAAGCCACCAACGTATGGCATACTGATGTGGCCCCGAAGGGGTTAATGGAAGCCCAGTGTACAGTTTTGGCACAGTTCTGTGCCGGGTTGAACAGCCTCCCATGTAAATGTGCAGGATTTACACCATCCCGGTCAGGCCAAAGGCTCTGAACCTGGAAGAAGATCAGGGTGAAGATAGAAACGTCCACCATGGAGGGGATTGCAGACATCACAGTGCTTACAGAGATCATGTTTCTGTTTAAGTGTGCCATAATGTGCAGATATGTTGCGATAAAAGCTCCTGGGGGCCAACATTTTACCTCTTCTCTAGTGGTCTACTTCTGCTTTAAGGGTTTTACTGTTACATAAAATACATAATAGTATACTGGCTGATGGGTTCTTATAAAGGCACTTGATTACAGAAGTGCATAATATGCTGGTTTAATAGCACTCTGACACCCCACCCCCCCTCCCCTCCGCCTAAGCTGGCTCTGTACGCTGGTTGGGGTTAGTTCAGACAGCTGGAATTTGCACCGCGATATCCAACAGCCATCTGTGATGGGCTCTTGACTGTGCCAAAGGAAAACGGAATTCTAAAAACAGGTCATTTAAACAACGTGCAAATCAAAATAATTTAAAGAACGGCACAGACAAAGGCCAGCCCTCGTAAGCCAACATTAAAACATGCTGACATGTTACAATATACATTTATCTTTACCTTTCTTCTTTCAATTTCAGTGTGTGGAGATTTAAAAAGTACTATTTATTTAAATCTTAACTAAGGGGCATGCACACCACAGCGTGGAGCTATGCACTACGAATTAGCCTGCACACATTGCAGTGCCTTTTTTTCAACCTTTAGAGTTAGAGAAGAAATTTTTTTTTAAAAATAGTGTTACTATGCACTGCAGCACATTGAGGCACATTAGAGTGCTTCAGAACACACTGCACAAAAATGTCCGCTTTTTTCTTTTACCATTGATGGAGAGCCTGGGCTTGGTGTTCTTTCGCCAAAGCCCGATGGCCTGACCCCCCCCATATCAGTTGCAGAGATGCGCATTCCCCGACCTACAGCTATACATGACAAGGGGGCCGGAATATGACAACGCTGCCACAGCACCACTGATTGGACAAGAAGGGGGGTGTTAGTCATAGTTTTGAGCAGGATTAGGCAAATTTAGGTGAAATTGGTTGTACCAAGCCTAGGCTTATCTCTACTGCTCACCTGCAAAGCACACTGCAACCATAGGAAATACAAGGCTTTGTCCTTGCATTGGCCAATAGAGCCAAAAGCGGCTGGTGAGAACAAACTTTATATATATTAAATATATTGGTACCTTGCATCACGAACGCTTCGGT